CAAGTTTCACTATGATATGTAGTGTTGTTGACCTGTTTTTGTTGATTTTGAAGGGAGTTCTCTGTGCTCTTGAACTTGGAAGCCTGTCTCCTTCCCCAGATTAGGAATGTTCTCAGCTATAATTTGTTCAAATAAACCTTCTCCTCCTTTTCCCCACTCTTCCTCTTCTGGAACCTTTATGGTATGGATGTTGTTTCATTTTATGGAATCACTAAGTTCTCTAAATGTCCCTTCGTGATCTAATACTTTCCTTTCCCTCTTCTTTTCAGGTTCATTATTTTAAGTAATTTTATCTTCTATATCACCTATTCTCTCCTCTGTTTCTTCAATCCTTGTTGTGACAATCCAGTCAGTTTTGTATCTCAGTTACAGTATTTTTTACTTCAACCTGACTCGTTTTCAGGTTGTTGATCTCTTTGCAAGGGTTTCTCTGGTGTCTTCTATGCTTTTTTCAAGTACGGCTAATAGTCTTATGACTGTTGTAAATTCTTGTTCAGATATATTGCTTATATCTGTTTTGAGCAAGTTCCTGGCTGTGATTTCTTCTTGACCTTTCTTTTGGGGAGAATTCCTCCATCTTGTCATTTTGGCAAGAACACACTTTTGTGTGTTTTGAAATCTTGTTATATTTCCTGCACCCAAGAATAATGCTATGTTAAGAAGGGGTCATACACTGTCCAGGGCCTGGCACTTCAGGAAGGGTCTCTGGTGTATACTGTGTGCACTCTGGTTTTGTGTTTTTCTGCTCTTTCTTACTGCTCAGTCCTCTGAAGAGTTCTTTCTTGCTTGCAGTGGGGAATGTTTGGGCGTTTTTACTCGGTGTGTTTTTATTTGTTTGTTAAAATAAGTCTGGAAAAACAAAAAAAAAAAAGACAAAATGGAAACAAATGAAACAAATGGAAAACAAAACAAACAAAAAACCAAAAAGCCTGATGCAGAGAGAAAGAGAGAGAGAAGGAAAAGTAAAAAAAAAACCCAGTCAATCAAAACTCTAAACTTGATGCCAAAGAAAAGGAAAGGTAAAAGAAAAGAAAAGAAAAGAAAGAAAGAAAGAAAGAAAGAAGAAAGAAAAAAAGAAACCTGGTTCAAAAAACAGAGAAAAGGAAATGAAAAATCCAATCAAACAAAAAACTATGAGTCTGACTCTAAAAGAAAACAAAAGAATAAGAAAGAAAGAAAAAAGAAAGGAATCCTTGCATTATTTCCACCAGAACTCGATGTATAATTTTGAAGCACTCGATTTTCAGTGCACTTGGTGCTGCCTGTGCTGGTCTTCTGTAGAAGAGGTCCCTTGCACTGGCTCAGAGTCAGTCTTGCCTCAGTAAATAAGCAGTTGCTGGGCACAGGGGGTCAGGGTTTGGTGTAAGCGGGTCCTGCCTCCACTGGGGGCTGCTGTGTTGTTCTCTGAAGTCTACCTTGTTGGTGGTGGGTGTGACATGGTGCCACCCAAATCTCCCATCCCTGGACAAAAACTCTCACACCCCCTACTGTTCAGGAAGCAGTGAGGGCAGTAAGTTCACCCTGAGCCACAGTTCTCCTGTGTCTTTTTCTTTTTCTTTTTCTTTATAATTTTTTTTTTAATTTTTTTTTTCAACGTTTATTTATTTTTTGGGACAGAGAGAGACAGAGCATGAACGGGGGAGGGGCAGAGAGAGAGGGAGACACAGAATCGGAAACAGGCTCCAGGCTCCGAGCCACCAGCCCAGAGCCCGACGCGGGGCTCGAACTCACGGACCGCGAGATCGTGACCTGGCTGAAGTCGGACGCTTAACCGACTGCGCCACCCAGGCGCCCCTCTTTTTCTTTTTTTAAAGAGAAGTTCCTTTTTAAAAAATGTTTATTTATTTTTGAGAGAGAGAGAGCATGTGAGTAGGGGAGGGGCAGAAAGAGAGAGGGAGTCGGAGGATCTGAAGCAGGATCTGCACTGAGAGCAGAGAGCCCCTTGTGGGGCATGAACTCACTAAACGTGAGATCACGACCTGAGCCGAAGTCAGACACTTAACCGACTGAGCGACCCAGGTGCCCCTCCTGCATTTTTTTCCTTTGGTGCACAGCTGGGATTCAAAACTTGAAACCATCCGGACCTGTCCCCTTCCTCTGCAGTAGAGCCTCTGCGTGCTGTGTCTGATGTCTTTTGTCTCAGAAAAAGAGTCCGACACCTGTGCGGTACGTTGAATCTAAGGTTTAGCACTGCTAAAAGCATCGACAAGGTTTACGCCCTCTGCGTGTGCCTCTGCCCCTACTGTTAAAAGTAGGCCTTTTTCTGGGGGCTATAAGGTCTTTTGTCCTTGGACAGGCAATATACCCTCTTCCAAAAGTACTCCAGGAAGGGGAATGCTCTCTCCCAATGAACCCAAGAGACCCATACACCGTGCTTACATTCCAGGACCAGCTCTCCCCTTTCCAGGAGTGCGTGCTACAGATATGCTCCATGGAAATTTTTGTGCGCTTCCAAAATGTCAGAGTTTGAGCTCCACACACTGCAAAAAACTGCAGCACTCAGTACTTCTTACTCCCCAATCAGTGGTCCAAGAGGTTTTCCTTTTGTGTGAACCTGATGCCACAGTCTCTCAACCCCTCTTTTATTCCCCTCCCCTTTGTCCCTCTGTGGATAGGGTTTTCTCCCCTGTGGGGCACTGCCATTTTTCTCACCCTCAATTCATTTGCACGCACCCCGCACCTGCCATGTTATCTCCCTCCAACTATGTAGATCCTTGTGAGGATCGCCAGTCCTCAGATCGATTTCCAAGTTATCTGGCCTCAATACAGCTGTGTTTGAGGGATGAGGAAAGCCCAGGGTCCCCTATTTCTCTGTCATCTTAACTCTTTCCCCTTTAATAGTCTCTTATGGTTTGTTTCCCTCTCTTTCTCCCCCACCCCCCCATATGTTCATCTGTTTTGTTTCTTAAATTCCACATACGAGTGAAATCGTATGGTATTTTTCTTTCTCTGACTTATTTGATTTAACATAATACACTCTAACTCCTTCCACATCATTGCAAATGGCAAGATTTCATTATTTTTGATGGCTTAGTGGTATTCCATTGTACCACATCTTCTTTATCCATTCATCAGTCAATGGACATTTGGGCCGTCTCCATAGTTTGGCTATTGTTGATAGTGCTGCTATAAACATTGAGATGCATGTACCCTTTCCAGTCAGTATTTTTGTATTCTTTGGATAAATACCTAGTAGTGCAATTGCTGGATCATAGGGTAGGTCTATTTTTAACTTTTCGAGGAACTTCCATACTGTTTTCCAGAGTGGCTGTACCAGTTTGCATTCCCACCAACAGTGCAGGAGGGTTCCCCTTTCTCCATATCCTTGCCAACACCTATTCTTTCTTGTGTTGTTAATTTTAACCATTCTGACAGTTGTGAGGTATTACCTCATTGTGGTTTTGATTGGTATTTCCCTGATGATGAATGATGTTAGGCATCTTTTCGTGTGACTGTTAGCCATCCGGATGTCTGGAAAAGGAAAAGTTTCTCTTCATGTCTTCTGCCCATTTCTTAACTGGGTTATGTGTTATTGGGGTGTTGAGTTTGATAAGTTATTTATAGATTTTGGATACGAACCCTCTATCAGACATGTCATTTGCAAATATCTCCTCCCATTCCATAGGCTGACTTTTAGTTTTGTTCATTGTTTCCTTCACTGTGCAGAAGCTTTTTAATTGATGAGGTCCCAATATTTCATGTTTGCTTTTGTTTCCCTTGCCTTCAGTGATGTGTCTATTAAGAAGGTTCTCCAGCTGAGGTCAAAGAGGTTGCTGCCTGTGTTCTCCTTTAGGATGTTGATGGCTTCCTGTCTCACATTTAGGTCTTTCATCCATTTTGTGCTAGTCAATTTTCTTTTTTTTTAAAGTAGGCTCCATGCCCCGCATGGAGCCCAACACAGGGCTTGAACTCATGACCCTGAGATCAAGACCTGAGCTGAGATCAAGAGTTAGACACTTAATCAACTAAGCTCCCCAGGCATCCCTTCTTTCATCCATTTTGATTTGTTTTTGTGTATTTTATTTTAGTGTAATAAAGTGGTCCAGGTTCATTCCTCTGCGTGCCGCTGTCCAGTTTTCCAAACACCATTGGTTGAAGAGACTGCCTTTTTTCCTTTAGATATTCTTTCCTTCTTTGTCGAAGATGAGTTGACCATATAGTTGTGGGTCCATTTCTGGGTTTTCTATTCTATTCCATTGATCTATGTGTGTTTTTGTGCCAGTACCACACTGTTGTCTTTAGTTGTTTTAAGATAGCAGTTACTAAATAATTTTTCATCCCATTACTCTGATAAATGATGCCAGCTCTTCAATAGCAGCAGTGGGACACTGGAAGAGGGTGCTTCAGTGGGCACTGGGGATACATATCAGAATTTCTGGGAGGCATTTGCAGTTCAAATGACCTCCTCTGATGACTCTAAGATGCTGGATCCGGACTTCTGCTATAAGGGCAGATTTTAAGGTATGATGTGGCCAACTGTTCTGTTTGCATTTCCACTACTTTACACTCACAGCTTATAATCTACAGATGCAACTCCATGCATTGCATATATCTGCAGTTTCCATTTGACTCTATAAATAAGAGTATATAATCTAGACTCTGAATATGTCAGCCAGGGCACAGCTAATATGAAACAGATATTCTTTGATATTACTATTTCCTAAGTATAATAACTTAATAAAAGTTATTTTTTAATGTTTATTTTTTTTTATTTTTTGAGAGAGAGAGAGACCACGAGCAGGGAAGGGGCAGAGAGAGAGGGAGACCTAGCATCCAAAGTAGGTTTTAGGCTCTGAGCTGTTGGCACAGAGCCTGATGTGGGGCTCGAACTCATGAACTGCAAGATCTTGACCTGAGCCAAAGCTGGACGCTCAACCAAATGAGCCACCCAGGCACCCCCAGTAAAATCAAGTTAACTAATTTAACAGTCAGCATGTGGGAGGATGTTTTTTTAATCTAGTAAGATTTTGAAATCCCAATGTTGTTATTTGTCAATGCAGCCTCAAAAGGGAAGTGGAGAAAGCTTTGCAGGGGACTTGCTTGGGATCCTGGATCTTCTGGAGTTAATAAGATAGGGCAGAATGAATGGTTTGCAGCCATTGTTGGGGGGAAAAAGACCTGATGCCTGCTGTATTCAAACAACTGTCTGTTGAAGAGAGCTGAACACCAAAGTTGGAGAACCACTGCTATTGATTGACTTTTCCTGCTTCTCTATTTCCCCTTTGTCTTCTCTCTGCAAATCCCCAGCACCTTTGTTGCTACCTGCTGGTGGCGAGAAGAGTCTTGGTGCTAGAGCTTTTGTAAACATTAATTTTAAAATGGGATAAGCTGCATGTCTGTAAGTAGAACAATTCCTGAAGTTAAATACCAGACTTATGAAGAAGCAATATTATAGATAAAGCATAAATTTTCTTCTCAATTCCTAATGACTTACCGTTTCAAATCAAGACATGCAGAGATTTGAGGAGGACAGAAAACTTCTAAACACCTTCTCTTTTCATTTGTGATTACATCTGAAATTTAAAGTTGTGGTTCAATTTTCATTTTACTTTTTTCCTTAATAAAATACTTCTGAGGCATGAGGTTGTTAGACATAAACTTATTTAGATAATTTTTTTGTTCTTTTGTGTAAACATAGAATTTGTTATATGATTATATATGTTAATTATAAAAATTAAATGTTATTCATATTGAAAATGAGAACTAATCACTGTTGACATTTTGTTTAATAGAGTTATTGTTCTTTCCCTCCTTCCCTCTCTTCTTCCCTTCCTCCCTCCCTTCCTTCCTTCCTTCCTTCCTTCCTTCCTTCCTTCCTTCCTTCTCTCATTCCTTCCCCTTTAAATAATGCAAACTATGATCGTAATATACATACTCTTATGATCTGTTTTTCGACTTGCCTGTGTATATTGGACATTTTACCATGTAAACACATTCTCCCTCAAGATTTCATGGCTGCATAGTTTATTACTAAATTCATTGTATCATTTATTATTAGAATTTAGTAATAATTCCTCTTGACATGTTTGTTTTTTTAGAATAAATTTCTGCAATTGAAATTGATGACAAGTACATGTTTTGGGCCCTAAAAAACCCACTTTATTGGCTATAATTGATATACAAAAAGCTCTACATATTTAATGTATACAACTTTTAATTAATTACCTTTCCCAAAGACTTCCCTACTTGCCAATAGGGTGGAATGTGGGAGGGGAAAGGGGTTAGTCAGGGAAATCTTGCCAGGAAATCACCAGAGGGTTCTGAGCCTCCTCTGGAGGCTACAGCTTGCTCTGGGGTGAGGGTTGGTCTGTCTGTGCGCCTCAGGGGTAGATCTCTCTGAGGCACATGGGCAAAGAAATAAAAACTTGTTTTATTCTCTTTTCCTTTCTCAACTTCCCCTAATATTTTCTTCCACTCCTTCCCGAGCCTGGGTCTAAAGTAGGAGAACGTGGTGGGTGGGGGATGGTTGGGGAGTGGGTGGGAATCCCAGGTTCCTTTTTCAACTTCCAACCTGAGTCTGACTTCCAAACTGAGATGACCTGTCTCCAAATCTGATAAGTAGGAACCACTGCCCTCTACTGTTTGCAGTGCTGGTGAGGGTTTAAGTCTTTCCAATTCCAGCTCCCAGAAGAGTGCCTTACTTCTGGAGGCACTGCCTTACTTACTTCTCTCCGCCAACAGCTCCTAGAGTGCTCTGCTGGAGGGTGCAGGGCTGAGCTACGAAATGTCCACCCGCTAGTTAGGAAAATTCAGCATTTGGGAAAGGAGTAAGGAGAACCACCAGGTACAGCCGGAGATGAGGTGAGGAATATAGAAACAGGACTGAAGAAATGCCCTTGAAAAGATACATCATATAAACTAGAAAGTGGCAGCAGAATATAAAATTAAGGGAGAGATAATCATCTGGAGAACATGTGCAGACTTCTGAAACATACCTACGGATGCCTAGAAGTTCCGTGTGAGCTTCTTTGAGACTCACCTCAGCCCTGAGGTTTGGAGAGTTAGAGGAGCCTGCTGAGGGTCACAGAGCTGCCACACAGGGACACAGGCAGGGCAGTGGACTCAGCCCTACAGCCTCTAGGGACCCTACTCCTGACACCCACTCTGAGCTCCAGCCAAGGCCAACTCCCTGGGCCACAACACGTGGAACCAGCTCTGAGCTCCAGCCTGTCTCCCTGGTTTGAGGAACTATCTAGAACATTTTTTTTTTTAAAAAAAAAATGTTCTATAAAGAAAAAAAAGAAAAAAGAAATCCATTTTGCTTTCTTTTCTTTGGGAAGGGAGCTTCAGGTTACACTTTGTTATTGTCTCATTTGTTCCCAGCTATAATTCTGTCAGGTGGACAAGGCCAGTATTGTTATTTTCTTTGTTTAACTGAATGGATTGAGGCCCAGAGCAGGCTAGCAACTTGGCTGAGGTAACAGCTAAAGGGTGAGACAGCTGAGGCAGAAGCACTCTAGGAGCTGTTGGCGGAGAGAAGTAAGTAAGGCAGTGCCTCCAGAAGTAAGGCACTCTTCTGGGAGCTGGAATTGGAAAGATTTAAACCCTCACCAGCACTGCAAACAGTAGAGGGCAGTGGTTCCTACTTATCAGATTTGGAGATGGGTCATCTCAGTTTGGAGATGCCCATGTGCCTCAGAGAGATCTACCCCTGAGGCGCACAGACAGACCAAGCTTGTGTCTGACTTGTTTTATTTATTCTCTTTTCCTCTCTCAACTTCCCCTAATATTTTCTTCCACTCCTTCCCGAGCCTGGGTCTAAAGTAGGAGAACGTGGTGGGTGGGGGATGGTTGGGGAGTGGGTGGGAATCCCAGGTTCCTTTTTCAACTTCCAACCTCTGGGACCCTGGAAACAGTCTGAGACCCAGCAGGAGGCAGGGTAAAGGGTTTTAACAGCAAAGGGACCTCATCCCAGCCCCTCTATTATGAAGGCCAACAGCACTGAGTACATGAAGAAGGTCTTTATTCCTTTGTCTTGTGCTGTGTTTAATTCTTGCTTTCTGATAACATGCTGCACCGTGTAGCCTGGAGTCTTTGGATGAAGGAAGGATTACTCATTGTTCAGGGCCCGCCTACTCGTTGCCCACATGCCACTGTCCCAGCTGGATAATGCCAAGGCCCTCCAGCTGTGTTGCTTCCCTCAGGCTCCCTCTCCCTGGAATTCTGGGGTCCCTCCTGGAGTTGATAACATCCCTTGGAGGCTCCTGCTTTCCATTTGAGCCTTTGACTATCCCACCAGCACTTTTCCTCCAGGCCACCAGGGGTCACCGTAGTCTGCATAGAATTCTTGAGGTTGGAGGCTGTCCCAGGTTGTCCTGCAGAGTTTGGGATTACACCCAGTAATTTCAGTGAGGGTGGGAATGTGGATGTCAGGTTGGATGATCTCCCTCAAGCTTGATGAGACCATTCTCATGTCCTCAAATTACTGGGCAAAATTTCCCTCAACTCCTTCCCTGTGGGTCCTGTCAGCTTATGATGGGGAGGGTAGTGTTATGTTTTACTCCCTGAGAGTTCATTTTCTCCAAATTCTGCTTACATTTTTCTTTGTTGGCATAGGTAATTGTTTATTCAGGAGTTCACGCTGATGGCACAATATCTGTCCCCATGGCTAAAAAGTGATGGTAGTGGTGGTGATGCTTCTTGGGGGCTTAACAGAATGGGTTAAACCATTCTGTTGCTGAGGCAACTCTGGGCTGCTGGGACCAGTGCAACGACTTTGCTCTATGGGTTCAAACCCTATTTCAACTGCCTTCTTACTGGCTGTGGAAACTGGGTAATTCCTTAAATCTCTCTAAGACTCAATGTTTGGGTTGAAATTCATGTTCACCTGGAAGCTGAGAATGTTCCAGATAACCTTATTTCCAAATAAGATCTCTGCAGATATAATTAGTTAAGATGAGGTCATACTGAATTAGGGTGTGTCCTAAATCCAATGACTGATGTCCTTATAAAAAAAGGAGAGGTCAGAGAGACTGGCACACAGGAAGGAATGCCATGTGAAGACAGAGGCAGAGACTGGAGTGATGTGTCTATAAGCCAAAAAAATGCCAAGGATTGGCAGAAGCCACCTGGAGCTAGGAAGGGGCATGGAAGAATTTTTCCCTAGAGCCTTTAGAGGGAACATGACTCTGCTGACACCTTGATTTTGAACTTTTGGCTTCCCAAACTATGAGAAAATAAATTTCTGTTCTTTTAGGTCACTCAGTTTGTGGTAATTTGTTACAGCAGCATAGGAAACTAATACACTCAGTTTCTTCAGATGCAAAGCAGGGATAATGTCACCTCAGAGTTTGCTGTGAGATTAAATAATGTATGTTTTATGAATGGCTGTGCAGTCACTCTGATAGCCAATTCACAGCTCTGGATGGCTGAAGGCCATTTGCCAGGCATTTAGTAAGCCCTTAGAATGTTAAAAGTTATTACTTGTGTTGATTTCTTTGCTTTTGAGAGTCCTCATGGTTGACAGCCTCCTCATTCTTGGGAATCCCCTCCCACTTCATCTCAGGTCACCTTCCCTGTGGCCTTTTCACTCTTCACCCAGTTAGCAAATCCCTCAACCCAACACCCTCCATGGCAGCACTGGGGTTGTTTTCTCGGTGCCCTGCTGCTCTGAGGAGCATGAGCCTCCCTTCAGTGTCTCAGCCACTGCTGAGCCTGTGCCCTTCACCTTCATGGGCCTCCTGCCATCTGCTTGGCCCTCTCATCTGCCTTCCCCAATGGGACCAGTTGAGTGGATGCAAGTGTAGTGTGGCCAGTGGAATTGTATCTACACCATACTTTTGCTTGTGAGGCCCGGAGGGGCCCTGAGAGCAGTGCCTGTGCCAGGCACCATTAGTGCCTGATGTCTGGTCACAGGACCACCTCACAGCAGCTGAAGGGCTAGGGCAGCCTGAGAGTTTGTCTGCATTCCGTTCCCACTGTGTCTTGTCATCCACATCTGAAACGAATCACAGCATCTCAGCTACAGCTTAATCCCCCTCACAGATTCCCACGCTGTTCCCTCAGAGCATAAACCAGTTCCAGTAACTACTCTTAAACACTCTCAGCCTTCTCCTGCCAGCTCCCATCTCTGTCACTGGGCAGCAGGTGGACCCCTTGTCCCTTCACATCTTCTGTTCTGCAATAGGCAGAGCCATACCAGACATAGGATAGAGGTGATTCAAGCACAGGGCCTTTCTGTTGGGTTTTCAAGGATGAGTATTGTAGGTAACTGAGATGGTAATTGAACCGAATTCATCAGTTCACTAAATATCTGTGCTTCCCGTGTACTAGGCAGAGTGCTGTATGTTGGAATTTTAAAAACAAGTGAGAATTTCTTCTGCTGCTTTCCCGGTAAGACCACCAAGTTGACTTCCACCCCTCTCATTTCTGCACGAAAAGGCCCGGGACCTACAATTACAGTAACTCTATGGATTACAAAATAATTCTACTGCTGATCATCTCTATGAAATACCAGAAACTTCTCTGCTTCAGACTGGGTATGAATCTTGATGTATCCAAGAGGTGTTCTTCCTGTCCATTTTACTTCAGGTGGTTTTTAAATATGTCTGCACATTCCTTGACACTTGTCCTATCAAGAGGTGGAGTCTCTGACCCTTCTTTTATCCCAGTCATCTCAGACTGCTATAATAAAATACCATAGGCTGGGGCTTAAACATTTATTTCTCACCATTCTGGAGACCAAGTCTGAGTTCAAGGTGCCAGTGTGGTTGGGTTCTGGTGAGCGTCCTCTTCCTGGTTTACAGATGGCTACCTTTTTGCTATGTCTTCGCTTGGCAGAAACAAAGAGAGGGGGCAAGCTTTTTGGTGTCTCTATGAGGACTCCACCCTCAGACCTCATCTAATTACAATAATTTCTCAAAGACCCTATTGCAAATATCATCACATTAGGGACTTAGGCTTTAACATATGAATTTTTGGGGTGAAACAAGTCAGTCCACAGCACCTTGATCTTGGGCTTTTGTGACTGCCTTGATGACGAAATGTGGTGATGTTGCATGACTTCCAAGGCTGGCTTATAACAGATTCTGTAGCTTGTGAGGGTTTCCCTGGGATGCTTACTT